TTTTCCCCTTAAACCGGTTTTCACAGCAGCTGCCCGGGTGTGCGGCTGCAGTTGGCATATTTCACGCGTTGGAAAAAAAATTAACTGTTTTTCCTTTGTATCTTAATCCAGTGATGAGAGCTCTCCTTTGTTGGCTTTCGAGCTTGCATTTGTTTTATTTATTATAAGGAAATCCAGTTTGGTTCAAATATATAATCCATTTGAGCACTTAAATCCCCAAACAGCTGGCATTATTTTGTTTTATAATCTTTGGCTTTTCTGCGCAGAGCATATTTCTAAATTCCTACTTGACATTTATGGGGAAAAAACTTTTTAATGTAAATGGATATTGTGATTTTTTTTCTGGGTCTTTCCTAATTTACATGCATCATCAATTTTCCTGGGTTTCCTATTGTTTTAATCTTTTTTCCCCCATAGCTTGTTAATTAATTTTTTTTTTTCCTCCAGAAAACTTTGTTTCTGGAGGGAGAAAAATGTTAATTTGCCCCATTATTTTAATCTCTGGCATTTGGAAATGGTTGAGGGACCACAAAAATGCAACCTGTTGTAGAAACCAGAGTGGTGTGTTTTATTTATTTTAATCGATGGCAGAGAGGTGATTTAGGAATAGGAACTCCGAGTAACATTTTAGTAAAAGATTTGCAGCTCTGGTGGCTGCGTACGGGGCGTGCATGTGCTTGCATGTGCCTGTGTTTCTTTGCAAGCTGATTAGCGAGTGGGTTTTACGCTTATAACCAGTGGTCACTGCTGTTTTCCCCACTTGCTGGGTGTTCGTGACGCCTGCTAAATCCAGCTCTGTCATGGCTTCTCCTACTTTTATCAGACTTTCCTCTTAACTAATTCAGCACAGTGCTACAGCCTTCATAAGCAGAGGAACCAAAACTGAGCCAGAGATAACCGATTACCACTTGTTCTTTGGTGAGAGATTTTTTTAATTTTTTTTATTTTTTTTTTAATGGTTCGGAGCTAAAGGCTGTTGATTCAGTTTGTCTGGGTTGTGGCATGTTTAGCCTTGTTATTAGTAACATACACGATTACACAGGTAATTTGTGTACACCTTAAGCAGGGTGGCTCTAAAAACCAGTACATATGCATATAAGTAGCCATGAAAAAAAAAAATCATAAAAAAATTAGACTTTGTTTTCAGTCTGTCCGTCTAACCTTCATACTTGGTAGACAGTTTACGTAGCTTCATAGATTGATCTCCACCCCCCCCTCCCTCTGCTCCTTGTTTAGTTAATTCAACAAAGACTTTTTGCAATCTGTTTGGAGTTTGTCTGATGCCGTGGAAAAGTAGCTGCTGATTTATTTGGTTGCTTTTCGATTTCTGTCTCTAGCCCGTCTTTTCTCCTCCTTTCAGCGGGGATGTCAGCTGTTATTACTTCCTATTGATCCCTTTGCAAAGTGAGAAGTGAACTAAAATTAATGTCAATTCCACTGCTCGGATCAATAGCTGGAGTTATTTTAATCTGGATTTGCGCGAGGTGCTAAATTAAAAAAAATCAGCATAGAGGCAGAAAAGTAGCAGTTCCTCACTCCGCCTGTGCCCACTGCCTTCCCGGCACCCAAATGTTCCCTCCAGCTGATTACCCTGCAATCCATATTTTTTTAATTAAGAAGGTCAGTTAGTTTTCTTATTTTTGGGTTCTGTATTTAAACCTATGACATTTTGACATTGGGAGTGTATTAACGATAGATTTTCATAATGACTGGTCCGCCGCAGTCTAATCTCTCCGTGTTGCGGGGGGCGGGGAGGTGCTGGGCGAGACAGGAGCAAGAGAGAACGAAAAAGGAAGTGGGAGCTGAAAAAAAATTAAATTTGGCTGGCCGAGATATTGTAATGTGTTGATTTATTCCCAGTGTAATGAAGTTTGCAAACGAATAAACGGCCGTAGTGATTCACAGTATCCTACAGGAGTGTCAAGTGTTGCGGCCAGATTACTAATTTATGAAATACATTTAACGTAATGGGGTGATAGCACAAGTAAAAATAGAAAAGGAGGCAGAGGTGGTTGCTTTTTTTTTTTCCTCCCTGGAAATCTGTGTTTTCCCGTGACTGCTCAGCTTCACTTCCATGTTAATGATTGTTTATTTCTGAGAACGGTGGCTTATTTGCATGCATCTCTTTAGATAGATAATCGTGTGTGTGTGTGTGTATATATATATTTACCCGGTTGCATAAACCCCCAGCATCTCCAAATTTGCCAGTGGCTGCAGTTTCCTGACCTCCCGTTTTTGATCAGCCTGGCGTGAAGCAGCGGAGCGAGTGGACCCAGGACCGCAGCGCTGACCAGGATGCCCTTGGCATCCCTCGCTCTCCCTCTCCCCCTCGCTCTCCGTGGCGAGAACTCGACGGGAAAGTTATTTAAAATTTGGAAGAGAGCAAATCCGTTAATGCGAGATACATAATCTGGTAATTTAGCAATGATGTCTGTAAGGATGGGTGCCAAATGAGGAAGCGGAGAGATGATGTCCACTCATCTTCACAATTAATAACAGTCAGCGGAGCGGCTGGGTACAGGATGGGAGAGAGGAAATGTTATCACTGAACTGCATTAAAGCCACAGACTGCGTTTCATACACTTTGTTAACCTAGGCTCCCTCATTCATGGAGTACAAAAGGCACTCCATTAGGGAGACTCTTTCACTAAGTTTTATTTGAGATGTTTGACCCTCTGGATTTAAGAGGCACAATTTGTAACAGCTTTTTATTATTATATGATTTTTCTGGCCCTTTGAGCTCCAGCGGCTAGTATATTGTTTCAAAGTTATAGTCCTTGTATTTTAAGCTGGGTTGTGGGGCCTGAATGGCAGGCGGCGGAAGCTTAAAAGAAAAGACACGAGATTGATTGGGGGAGAAAATAACACCACAAAAAGCCGGAGCGAACTGGGGGAGATACAGAAAGGAGCATTTTCCCTTCTTTCACCCTGGGAGGGGGTCGTGGCTGGCTGGGTGGCTGCAGCCAACCGAGGAGGCTCGGCAAGATGCGAGGCAGAAATTTTGTTAACATTTTCCTCTAAATGTTAATGGCACATCCAGGGCAGTTTACAAATCTACTTAAGAGTGAGTGCATTAGGAACTAAAATTACTGATCCATTCTCTCTTGTCCCCGACCCGAAAGGCAGACGCTTGCAGAGATCAGATGGCAGAAGCACCCATTATGATTTTAAATATTGTCAGAGACGCCAGGCATTTTACTGGGGAAGTCTCTTCTCCTTTGGCTAACAGGGACTGTGTGTGCGCGCGTGGGTGTTTGTGTATTACACACACGCACCCATACACAGTCACAGTCCCACATTCCAATGGGGGGTGTGTGTGTGTATCTATCTATCTATCTATCTATCTATCTATCTATCTATCTATCTATGATGGTATCAAGTACTGTGTTTGCAAGTACTTACCTACACACATATACTGGGAGAGTGAGGGAAAATACATGTTTGTTAATGCATATCTTAGGCATCGTGTACAGTATAACCTTGTATGCTGGGTTCTTTGGGTAACTCTGTGCAATAGATATTTTTATGTCGTTGCCACATGCTCCCCCCCCCCCCAGCAAATTAGTGGTGTGTGTACGTGTGGGCATTCTCAAGTTTATTGCAATTATATGTACATGCCTCTTTGGCCATATAAAATTCCAGTTATAATTTGGAGTTACTATCTTAATTTTAGACTGAACCTTGTTTATTAGTAGGTTATTAAATCTGCGTGTTATTACGTTTGGTTTGCCTTTCATTCATCTGCACTGGATGATACCCTTTAACCTGGAGGGCCAGAGCTGATTCCACTAGTGTGTGAAGTTGTCTATTGATTTTCTTGAATGAGAACAGTGGCGCGTCGCCGGCCGGTGGGTTGTAACACATGTGGCCACCCTGCTGCTGGAGCGTCCCAGGGAGATGAACGCAGAAACCTAACCGGTTGTGGTTTCTTTTCTTTTCTGTTTCCTTGCAGCGTTTGGAGGGTGATGATGCTCCAGTAATTTTCCCCGCTCCAGTCCCAGGCATCGCTGTGCTTTCCTTCCAGGGAAGATCGTTCTGCTTGTGATCCTGTTGAGGAAAGAGACTCCGATGGACTTACACCGGGCAGCGTTCAAGATGGAGAACTCACCCTACCTCCCCAACCCGCTGGCCTCCCCAGCACTGATGGTTCTCGCCTCCACCGCCGAAGCCAGCCGCGATGCTTCCATTCCCTGCCAGCAGCCGAGGCCTTTTGGGGTCCCTGTGTCAGCAGATAAGGACGTGCATATTCCCTTTACCAATGGCTCATATACTTTCGCCTCTATGTATCACCGGCAAGGTGGGGTGCCGGGAGCGTTTGCAAACCGTGACTTTCCTCCGTCCTTGCTTCACCTCCACCCCCAGTTTGCACCCCCCAACCTGGACTGCACCCCGATCAGCATGTTGAACCACAGCGGCGTTGGGGCTTTCCGCCCCTTTGCATCTACTGAAGACCGGGAGAGCTACCAGTCAGCCTTTACGCCGGCCAAGCGCCTGAAAAACTGCCATGACACTGACTCACCCCATCTGCGCTTCTCGGACGCTGATGGGAAGGAGTACGAGTTTGGCACGCAGCTCCCCTCCAGCTCCCCCGGCTCCCTCAAAGTTGATGAGACGGGGAAGAAGATCTTTGCCGTTTCTGGCCTCATTTCTGACCGGGAGACCTCATCCAGTCCTGAAGACCGAAGTGACAGATGTAAGTACCTCCGTTGACTTGTTCGTTCTTCTTTAGTTGCGCCTTGTTGAGATCCTCAACAGGTGATTGTCCCGCAGTGCTGTGGTTCTTGCTGATGGCGGAGGAAAACCAGCCTTTCCTGCCTGCCGAGCTCAATCACGCAGTATTGCCTCGTCTCTTCTAAATGCACATGGACAGATTTTAGGGTGAGGTGCTCTTGAAGGAAACTTGTCTTCCAGCACATGGCTGGAGAGACAATGTTGACCATGCAGAAAGCTGTCCGTGCCCCAGCGGGAGGCTACAGGAGCTGGTACATATATGTGTGTAAACAGGGATGATATGTGTGCAAACAGGTATTCAGCTGGAGTGTGTAGCCAGAAACTTTCCCAGAGCTTGCAGCAAACACGTACCCCCTGCTTCTTCAGGTATTTCTTTCTGACCTTTTCTTCATGCACACCGTTCTTAGAGCAAATGCATCACCTTCAGGATTTGTGCCTCGGGTTAGGACAAAAGTGCCTTTTCCTCTGGTTAACTTCTGAGTATTTCTGGCCACCAAGCTCCCTCTTCGAGACATAAACCCAAATGTGTTCTTACAATCCAATAAGCTGTTTCCCGACATACGCCGTGTGCTTTCTCTGAGTGTTTCCCCCCTTTGGTGGCCGTTGAAAGGCGATGTGCCCTTTTGCAGATCGGCGGTAGGACTGAAGGAAACGGGTCCGCGTGTTCCTCACTGTAACTCCCTGCTCCCCCCTCACCTTGTCCCTTGCGGCGTTGCCTACGCAGAGGGGCAGAGCTGTCCTCCGGGAAGGACAGGCTTCCACGTTTGCTGAGCTGGGAGGTGACCCACGATGGGGAGTGGTCTGGGGCCAGCAGTGTGGTACCCCGAAGAAGAGCGCTAACTTACGATTAGAGTTTTCCTCTAAGGCCAGACGTATAGACCAAGGAGCGAACAGTTTGCTTTTCACGTGGGCTCCTTTGTTCTGTTGAATTTTCTTCCTAGAAAAGAATTTTATTATTGTTGTTGTTGTTATTACTATATTTTTTGCAAGGAAAACCTGCTGCCCCGCTCCTTCCTCTCCCTTTCAGACATGATTTTTTTTCTTCTCCCCTTTATGATGCCGAGGAGAGTAATAGAGACATTGTGGCTCTCTCTCCCCTGTCGGCGCTGCTTCCTCAGGCTGTCTCCTTGAATTAGGCACTGTGCTAACTTACCGGCGCTAAAAGGCATCTGCCCAAACCCAGCGTACCTTTTCAATAAAAGTAATCATAAAATCAACCTGCCTTGTAAATCCATTGCTCTTTGGTTTTGAAATATGCTGCAAGTGTGTCTTTTGTGTCGGCGTTTGCGAGGGCAGGATGATTCCCACTGAAGGTAGAAGCCGTGTATTCCTTGCACTACAAATGCGATCTCTTATCTGTCTCCCCCCTCTCCTTCTGAGCCACCCCCGACAGTGCTACTTTTTGTGCCGTAAGCTCCTTTCATTGTTCAGCATCTCCTCTCCCTCCTTTTGCGTCCATAAGGGAAGCGGCTGTAGGTGGGAGCGCGTATGGATGTGTATGTGTGTAAGCCGGTAACATAATTATCCTGGGGGGGAGGCAGGTGAGATGGCAAGGCTTAGAGACATCTTTGTCGATGCTCTTATCGATATCACCTGGCTGTGGAAATGAAGCTTGCTTGAAAGAATACTCCGGGCGATAGCGGCAGAGGAGTGAGTCCGCTGGCTGAATGAATTTAGAGCGCATCAGCTGCTATAGATCTTGCTAGCAAAATCCTGTCAGATACCCCATTTAAAGAAGTAAATCTGTTAAATGAATTAGACCACATGGAGCGCAGCTGTGGACAGACAGACACATCCACATCCACCGCTGTGCCTTGCCTCTGCCAACAGCATGTGCCCAACGTGGGTTCTGTCCTTCCCGGGAGCAGCCGGGGCTTTGCACAGGCGTGTGCAAGAGGCAGGCACGGTGACACCCAGCTCCCCCACCGCCAGCGCTGCGGCAAGGGACTTGCTGGCGAAAGGAAGCAGAATAAAAACTTTGCAGGCAGCTTTGAAAACTTGGGCAGAAGTGGAAGGTGTTTTGTTTGGTCATTTTTCTCACCTATATTGTTAAATTTCTTTAAGATGCTTCGCTGCATGGTAGAGCCGAGCAAATGCAACATCCCTGATATTTCATCGACATTAAAATTCTTCTGTAACTACCAGGACAGTGTACACTAAATATGTCTGTTGGCTCTGTATCATATTCCCATCACATATAGATACTGCACCATGGAAACTTCTCTCCATTAACACAGCGAGTTTATTTGGTGTGTGCATACACACGTATGGGTGTGTTTGCTGGAGGCCGAGAGAGCAAGCGGTGGAGCTTTTTAGAGGATCCTAATGATCTTTGATGTTGACCATCAGAAAAGAAAAACTTCCGCAATGAGGAATTTGAGAGATCACAGTTTGCAGATATAATCGTGATCCTGTTTTGCACTGACATTTGCATGCGTCTATTTGGAGTTGCTATATAAATGCATACTTTGGGGGGGTGGTTGTCTCTGAGAAGTTTTGTGGCATCCTTGCGTAATTGTTATATATAACCCTTTGTAAAAACTGCCTACCTGTGCTCCTGATGGAGAATCTGTTGCAGGTAGGTGGCTGTAGATTCGAGGCAAAAATGTAATAAGGCTTTTCTACAACAGCAAGCAAAAATTGTAAAATGTTCTTAGATCAGCAACACCTTTACGTGTCTAACGGGTGCTTTTCAGATTTGCAGAGCTCAATCCTCCAGTTGTATTTCTCAGATTCCTGAAAGGGTTTGTGTTACATGGAAGGTGAATTACTGTGATTGCACTGCGTATTCTTCTGTTCCACTGCACAAGAACCGTTTTTGAATAGCTCATTAAAATGTTTGTTTTACCCCATAGCTTAAACGGTGATTTTCTAAGAAACTTTTTTTTTTAAGATTCCTGAAAGGGTTTGTGTTACATGGAAGGTGAATTACTGTGATTGCACTGCGTATTCTTCTGTTCCACTGCACAAGAACCGTTTTTGAATAGCTCATTAAAATGTTTGTTTTACCCCATAGCTTAAACGGTGATTTTCTAAGAAACTTTTTTTTTTAAAAAAAAAAAAAAAAAAAAAGGAATTCAATGCATTGAGTTGTAATTTTACTGAAAAATAGGTTTTTGCTTGAGATACTTTGCAGCAAAAGGAGAATCCAAACTCAGGCATTTTCATCTCAAGGAGTGTTTGGAAGTTGCTCTATTTAGTCCTCTGCATCATGGGAGCAAAGTCTCATCCTTTTTTCACCAGTGGAGGAAATTTTCCAAATTCAGTAAAATTATTTGGGATATGTGCTGGTGTAACCCAAATTAGCACCTGGCCCTGTAAGATATGTATTTATGCTGCAGAGATTGCTTTGTCTTTTGGGTGAACCTTTCCTTACTTTAAAAGAAGCAGAGTGTTGCTTGCCAGCGGTACCCATACCTGCGCATCCCGGGAAGGGACAGCATCTCCTTTGGGGTGCGTCTGGGTGGGATTATGCTCCTTGTTACTCAGCAAATTGGTGTGAGATGTCTGCATTTGGCCAAGTTGTCTCTTGCTGTAAAATGCAGGTACGCAGGAGATCCGGAGCGATGGAGTGTACAGGGAGCACGTAGAAAAGCGGAGTCTTTCCAGGGAGAAGCAGACGTAACGTGTGCTGGATGGGCCCGTTCTCTTAGGTGCTTACTGAGAAAAATAATGCCATTTGTTAGAGTTTAGGGGCTTCTTGTAAAGCATGTGTTAAAGACACCAGGAGACATATTTTATGGGTTTCCTTTAATAAGCGTACAATAGTTGAGATTCCTAGAACGAGTGGAAATAAATGGCATGTTCCTTTCTGCAAAAGAGATCTATAGCCCTGTTTTAAAATCAGGAAGAAAAAAAAAATCCCTGGTTTTATTCTTTGCTTCTAATAAAATCTGTCCCAGTGGCCTTCTGTACCCAGTCACCATGGCATCACTTTCCCACAAAGTGACAGGCAGAGGTCCATGCCAAAGCCGGGATCTCTTGGCAAAGAGCTGGCCCTTGTCAGAGCAGACACCTCTGCTGTCCCTGCGAGGCCGCCCGCATCCCCCGCCTCCCTGGTCCACAGAAGATGGTTTCCTGTTGCTGCTTGGTCTTCATCGTCTGTTGTCTGTGACTTCTGGTGGAGCACGGCCTGATGTGTCAAGGTGATCTTCTACATCCTGGCCACTGGCTCTTCTAGCCTCAGTTTCCCTGCTACTGCTGGTGGCTTTTGCCCAGCTCCTGGTGTGCCCTGGGAATGAGCGATTGAGTTGGTGAGCACACTGCAGTCCTCACTCATCTCTTGGGGCTGGTGGGTAAAGTGGGGGTAGTTTTACTAACATTATTTTGGTTATTATTTTTTATAATCATATTTAACCTTGGTTACCTGGACACAGTCTGTTTGTCCTGCAACCGGTTTCTCTCCTGCAAGAGAGTTTGTGCGTTGTGTTAGTGAGCTCTTTGTTCCACTTTAGGGTTTTAAAGAACATCTCTAGCATGGAGTTAGTTTTCCTTTTGAAACAACTGGTTCGTTATTGATGAAATGTAAGTCAGGGCTATGATGACCACAGCTTGAATTCCTGAATAACGTAGTGCTTTGAAAATCAGGCCGAGGACTGTCTCTACAGTCACCCACCCCATCAGACATGTGCGTGTTGGGCTTTGTGTTTGCAGGCTGGGACCTATGTAGAGATGTACGTGTGTACATACGTGCACGTGCTAGAGGGGAAGAAGGTTTTTCTTGTTGTATTTTGTGGCAGAACAATGGGTTGGAGGGGGAATGCACACGTACACGCGTGCGCACATCCATCGCTCACTCTCACAACTCTTCCTGCTGGGATGCACCACTTAAGAGGACGGTAAAATTTGGGGTCTAACGTGAAGTGACGCTTTGTTGCTAATAATAATCAGCCGTGGCCATGAGAAATTGCAAGCTTAACATTGCTTCTGAAATGATGAAATAAATCAAGCGGAACGTTTGCT